ACCGGGCATCGTCAGAATCACGGGCCACAGCTTGGGAGGGGCACTGGCAACGTTGGCGGCCTACGACTTGGCCATGCGGGGCTACTCTGTGGAGTGCGTCACCTTCGGCTCACCACGGGTCGGTGACGAGGACTTCAAGGAAGCTTATGCTGGCAAGGTGAAACGCACCGCTCGCTTCATCAACAAGTTCGACCCCGCCACTCAGCGGCAGCATTGGGATGCTTTAAGTCTTTAAGTGTAGACTGTGTAGGGATCACGGGTTCCACAGCCTATCATAGAGGTGCCCCGGCTGCCCTGGAACGCGAGGGACGAGGAGAGGAGCAGCGACGCTGATGCTGTGCATTTGGCCTGTGGCACATTCTTGGCCCTTCCACAGCTTGGGCTTCAGTATGGCGCCTACGGAGAGGAAGCCTGCGGAAGTTTCGTGCACGTCTGCCCTGCTACCCAGCTTGACGTCGGAGTGTATGGCAGCCTCAAATTCTGGGGCGAGGTGGGAATGTACGGCCAGCTCTTTTGGGACCTGAAGGACGGGAAGTTGGACGCGAACGAGATTGCCTCACAGATTGTTGACATATACAACTCACAGGACCTCGCCGCGGCACTGGAGGGTACCGGAAAGGCAGTTTCTGAGGTCGAACGCGAGGCTTCCCAGGCCAAGGCCTTTCTGGAGTGTCTTGCAGAAGCTTTGCTTCCGCACGCGCTGGGCTTCTACAAGTCGAACCTGGACATGTGCTTTTCCGGCATGGGCAAGTTCCAACCTGCAGAAATGCTCAAGGTGGCTCAGCGCTACAAGGATGTCGTGTGGAGACTAGGCAGCAGCTTGATCGACACGAAGCCAGAGGTGGAGCAGGTACAACCGGTTGGGCACATCTTCCGGAAGATCGATTTCAAGATGATGAGCAGTCTCTTCCCGGGCGTCAGTGCGCAAGCTGCGGGTGTTGCCATGGTAGCCAGCGGTTTTGCTGGTACATGGCCCCTCAACTTCAGCAGAGCAAATTATTCCCCTGTGTTGCTCCTGTGTTCATGGCCACGGTACATGTGCTGCCCTTGTTCTATGCACTCCTCGCCAAAGGCTAGCAGGCGGTGTAGTGGCAAGGCAGCGAAATGCCCGGTGCTTGACTGCCGTCTGCTCTCGACACAACGTGCATGACACACAGGTGACAAGTGACAATCATCGGGCTCGATGTTTCATGTTCGAAGGCAACATGCGCAGGTCATCGGTGCAAAGCAAGGTTGCTGAACTTGCTCTCGATGGCCGATCGGCCAAGGGGCAAGCACGTCTGTCCTCCGCAGGCACTAACCACAGACCGCATCAAGACATGATATTCAATAGTCGCGCTTCCTTTTGTTGGAGCTTCCCCAGTAAGTTTTCGAAATACATTCGAGCTGAGGTATGGGCTGTGGGTTGTCCGAGGCAAGTTGGATCATGTTCGTGACGAGGTGGATGCAGGCTTTAAAGGCCTGCAGGATTCATTGGCTACGATGGCTGACAGAATCTGCGACACGATTTGTCAAGGGATCCGGTTGAATTCGTTGGAAACGAGCCAGAGACGCGTCATGGCGAGGGCGGCGACGTCAAAAGTCGTTCCTCAAGAAGGTGCACAAGGGTTTTTGCAAGAGTTTCTGACAGATCTCATGGACCTTGTCCAAGCCATTGACAGCGTGATGAAGGAGAAAGTCTCGGCTTCATTTGGGGCCATCGACAGTTTTTGTGAAGCAGCATATCTTTACGCGCTGATGGTGATGAAGTTCCAGGTGAGAGAAGATTTCGGCAAGCATATGCAAGTCCTCTTCAAGCCTATTCTCCGTCACCTGCATAGACTCGCATGGGAGCACCAACCATGGCCTGGCTTGTACGAGCATATGCCCGGGGCTTCTGGCTTCGTGAACTTTTGGCATCAGCCTGAGTTGCGACTCACATTGGAACATTGTGTCCTCCAGCAGTTGTCACATGCTGTCCATGGTGGTTCCAAGTTCCAGACATGCAGCTGCTGAGGCTGGAGGCGGTGCAGCCCACGGTGGGCTCCAACTCCGCTCTTGCCGTGGCGGATTTGGACAGTGTGGTCCCGCTCAAAGTAAAGCTGGCTCTTGATCCTGACAGTAGCAAGGCCCAATTGCTGAAGACTGCTCACCCGACCGCCTTGCATAGCACACTTCTAAACTCATTGAAGATCTCTGTCTCTCCTTCCCTCCCACCTTGCTTGCAGCAGGCCCGTTTCGAGCTGGCACTGAACGATTCGATGCCCGACTCTTGCGTGAAATGGTTTCAACACATGGAGAGGCAAGGGGACTTGTATGCGCGATGTGTGATGCTGCTGTTGCGGCAGACGCAAGAGAATTCAGATGACCGGTCGCTGTCGTGCTTGTGGAACAGCTTCTTGAATCGTGGCACCCAGCATGAAGATGCAGAGATGGAGAAGATTCTCTTCGGTACAGACCACGGTGATGAGCTTTGGCACCAAGACATGCTCCGGTGGCAAGTGCAATTCGGAATCAAGCGGCTCAGGCAGAAAGATCCATCACAGGCCCTTGAGACGGCTAAAGCAATGAAGAAGTGGCTTGACCGGTGCTGTGCCAGCTTTGCCCAGGATCACGGCATCCAGGCCTTCAAGGTATTGCAGGGCTTGGCCACAG